GAGCCCTCATCTGGGCCTTCCCCAGCCTCCAGGACTGGCCCATGCTCTTCCTCAGCCTCATCGCTGTCCGACTCCACTGCCAGCTCCTCAGGCTGCTGGCAGACTACAACACAGTCATCCAGGTCACGGTTGTCCCAAAGGTGATTTTTAAAAGAGGCAACTGGACTTTCTCGGTGTTTTTCCTTGAAGGCGTTTCGCTTCTCGTCCAAGAAGCTTCTTTAGTTCAGTCAGAAGGTTCTTGGATGAGAAGCAAAACGTCTTCAAGGAAAAAAACCATGAAAGTCCAGTTGGGGGTGGGGACGGGGGAACCTGCAAAAAGCACCTTGGAGACTATCATCTTTCTCATCTCCAGAAAAAAAGTAGCGGAGTTTTATTTACATGCAGCAAACTGAACATTTTCCCATAGCTCTGTCCTTTTCTAAACCTATTCAGTTTGCCCGGTCTCGATGCTGAGAAAATGCACCTGTTGTATTCTTGCAGCTGCTGATAGCCTATATACCGTTTCACTTTGTCGAGGGCAAAACAAGCTATGTATACAAGTTCCAATTATTAATTGGGCATGTACCACATTGGTCTTCATGTGAGGAAGGGAGGACATTTTATGTGTTACTGATATCCAAAAATAGTCCCATGATTTGCAAGGACTGGGTCGCATTCAACTGACAGCTGCCAGATTGTATGAATGCTGTAAGTTTTTGTGTGTGGCGGGGGGGAAACAGTACAGTAAGAAATCTGAACCACAGACAAAACAGCCGAATTTAACCGTAGACATAAAGAACTTCTTTTCCTCGTTTTCCCCTCATCCAGCATTTTTCAACAAGAAACATCTTATTCTGGAATATTCAATGCAAGGCCTGTCTGCCGAGTTCCTGTTTCCTCCAGTGATGGTTATTTGATAGTGTTTTTATAGTTTGTATCGTGGCACAGGAAATGAAAAGCCAGAGGTCACGGCCAATGTTGGCTTCTTGGGTCTGCTTTGTCCACAGATGTTGGTCCCACTCCAGCTTTTTCCTGCTCGTCTTAAATAGAAATGGCAGTTTGGCACATTGACTCGACCTCAGGTGTGGGTTCTACTTATCTTTACTACCGGTTTGCAACGGGACCGCGTGCGCAGATCGCCGATGACAACATCTGGGGCGATGGGCGGGGCCTCTCGCCAGTTTTACTACCGGTGTCAGCGTTTCAACGCTGGCATGGAGAGCAGAGGAGAGTGAGAGATAAACTCTGGAACTTTTGCCTGTTAAAGCCCTTTGAAGTCGGGTTGTCGTGGAAATGAGGGGAGGGGGAACATTCCTGGGGAATGATGTGAAAAGAAGTCTGAAGAATGACTTGGAAGATAGCCAATGAGAAGTAGAGATTTGGGGATTGGAAAGGGAGGGATTGGGGGGGCAAAAGGTCAGTCTTGTCCGCGCGGAGTCATGATCCGGTGGCTGTGCTCAATTAAAGAAAGATTTCCTTAAAGATTGGCAGTTTGGAAATTCATTTAATTTTGAGATAGCATCGCAGTCTGACAACCGGTTCTTTCAAACCAGTCCGAAACAGGGGCAACCCACCACTGCTCGACTCCCTGAATGGCAAATCAGAAATCATATTCAGAAATCCGCCTGTATCGATGGAGGAATACCATGTTTCTCCGAAAATAAGACTAGGTCTTATATTAATTTTTGCTCCAAAAGACGCATTAGGGCTTATTTTCTGGTGAGATCTTAGTTTGGGGAAAATACGGTACTAAATGCATCCATCTGGCTGACAATCTTAACTGGGGCTTATTTTGGGGGTAGGGCTTATATTACGAGCATCCTGAAAAAAAAATCACGCTAGGGCTTATTTTTCGGTTGGGTCCTATTTTCGTGGAAACAGGGTAGTATCAAAATCACGTAAAGCGTTAGTGCCGCTTTATACTGCATTCGTCAGACCACACTCGGAATATTGCATCCAGTTCTGATCTCCATGATACCAAAAATATGTCGGAACTCTAGAAAGGGTGCAGAGAAGAGCAACAAAGATGATAAGAGGACTGGCGGCTAAAATGTACAATGAACAGTTGCAGGGACTGGATATGTGTAGTCTAACAAAGAGAAGGACTAAGGGTGACATGATAGCAGTCTTCCATACTGGAGGAGCTGCCACAAAGAAGAGGAGGTCAACCTGTTCTCCAAAGCACCTGAAGGCACAAGAAGAAGTAAGAGGTAGAAACTTATCAAGGAGAGACCCAGAGAGATCCTAGAACTAAGAAGAAATTTCCTGACAGTGAGAACAATTAACCAGAGGAATGACTTGCCTCCAGAAGTTCTTGGTGATCCATCACTGGAGGTTTTTAAGAAGATCGTACAGCCATTTGTCTAGAATAATATTCAGTCACCTGCTTGAGTAGGGAGTTGGACTAGAAGACCTCTAAGGTCCCTTCCAACTCAGTTATTCTTTTATCCCAGATCAATTAATCAGTGGAACAGCTTCCCTTCGGAAGTTCTGGGGGCTTCATCACTGGAGGTTTTTAAGAAGATCGCACAGCCATTTGTCTGAAAGGGTCTCCTGTTTGAGCAGAGGGTTGGACTAGAAGACCTCCAAGGTCCCTTCTAACTCTGGATTCTGTATATGCCGAGAAAAAGCACCTGCAGAAAATCCCAGTTTATAAATCCAGGCAATGTAAGAAGCAGGTTTCTGGGTGCTTCGTGGCTCCAAGAGTCTTGGAGGAACCATGCAGAAAGAGAACGAAGCAAGTCGCAAGCAGCAGCAGGCAATTCTTTCAGGAGAAATTAAAATTTGGCCGACCGCGCAGAGAAAGCGGTGCCAGACAACATTCCTTCTGCTTTCACTGGTGGGGCGATCTCCCAGACTGCTGGCACTCACTGGCATGTGACGTAGCGGTGGTTGCTGGTTTGGAAAGATTTAGGAGTTCTGCCCACATGACAATAATACGGATTTGCTTAGACACAGAACCAAGAAGCCACAATTGGCTGGGTCCACACATCCCGCTAAGCCTTTGCAAACCACAAGGGCTGAAAACACACACACACACACACACACACATACACACACACACACACACAGAGAGCAGCTGCCAGAATCGCCCAAAAATCATTAGGGTTTGACACACTGTATCTCAACCTCAGCCATCTTAAGACCCCCTCCCAGGGGTGAAATCTAAAATTTGTTACTACCGATTCTGTGGGCGTGGCTTGGTGGGAGGGAGGAGTAATGTGGCTGGGTGGGCGTGGCCAACTTTTTTTTTTTAACTTTTAAAAGCATTTTTTCTACAACCTCTTCGGGGCTGCAGGAAAAAAATGCTTTTAAAAGCCTCTGACGATCAGGCAACTCAGCTGGGATCGTCAGAGGCTTTTAAAGGCTTTTTTTTTTTCCTACAACCTCTTCGGCTGAAGAGGTTGCAGAAAAAAAACGCTTTTAAAAGTAAAAAAAACAGCCTCTGATGACCGTGTGGCTCAGCTGGGCATGGGGGGGGGGGCGCAGGGATTTTTGCTACCGGTTCTCCAAACCACCCGCCACCATCGCTACCGGATCGGGTGATCTGGTCCGAACCGGGAGCATTTTACCCCTGGTTTGATCTTCCAGTCTCCTAATCATCTTCTCTGCACTCTTTCTAGAATCTCAATCTCTTTCTTTTTCATATATATATATTGTGGTGACCAAAACTGGAAGCAATACTCCACGCGCGGTCTTGCTAAGGCTTCATATAAAGCGGTACTAATTCTTCATGTGATCTCGATTCTATCCTTCTCTTAATGCAAATCAATAAATGGGAGAAGCGAGTAGGCCACCCTGATTTAGAGCTCTCACAGCCCAAAGTTGCCCCACAAGTGTTTCTACGAAACGATCCATTGACGTCTGGCTGTGCACGTGTTTGCGGTTTTAAACACTGTATCCCTGGCAAGGCTGCAACTCACCTGACCAGCATAAGAAATCATCCATATAATAATAATAATAATAATAATAATAATAATAATAATAATAATAATATTATTATTTGCATTGCAACTCTACCCGCTCGTCCGTGGGCCTTCCGGTATGGCAGGCTGAAGGTTTCCAGCACATGGCAGTCTAGGAAAACAGACCCTTTTTGCCATCCAAATAGCAGCTGGGGAAGGACGTTTGCCCATCTGCAGAAAACTGCTTTTAACACCTAATCAGCAAAGAGCTACCAGAACTGGGTAGCTGACAACTCCTGTGGAAGCTGCCAGGTCACAGAAACCGTTCAGGTAAATGGGATGTTTTTAAGGAGGTGACTCTATCAGTGGAAGTTTTCAAGAAGAGACTGGATATCCACTTGTCCAGGATGGAATTAAAGTAAAGGTAAAGGTTCCCCTTTAAAATAAAATAAAATAAAACCTATTTCAAAAGCTTCTGCAATTCTACAAGACCACCCTGATGGTGTTTACAAGTCCTATTTGCAAAGCCTGGTTAAGTTAATCTTAACCAGCTCATTAGTAGTTAAAGGTAAAGGTAAAGATTCCCCTCGCGCATATGTGCTGGTCATTCCCGACTCTAGGGGGCGCTGCTCATCTCCATTTCAAAGCCGAAGAGCCAGCGCTGTCCAAAGTAGTCTCTGTGCTCATGTGGCTGGCATGACTCAACGCCAAAGGCGCACGGAACGCTGTTCCCTTTCCACCAAAGGTGGTCCCTATTTTTCTACTTGCATTTTTTACCTGCTTTCGAACTGCTAGGTTGGCAGAAGCTGAGACAAGTCACGGGAGCTCCCCCCGTTACGCGGCACTAGGGATTCAAACCGCTGAACTGCCGACCTTTCGATCGACAGGCTCGGTGTCTTAGCCACTGAGCCACTGCATCCCAGGGTGGAATAGTGTCTCCTATTTGAGCAGGGGGTTGGACTAGAAGACCTCGAGGGTCCCTTCCAACTCCTATTATTCTATGTTCTCAATTGGGAATTCTCCCTTGCACTTGAGAGAGGCTTAAAAACCCAGCAAAACAACAACAACAAAAAAAAAGAAAACAAAAAAAACCCTTGAAACCTTTCTGCTTTTCAGCTCATCCTATCCTGCATCCATCCATCCAGGGGAAGGAATCTGTCAAGCACATTTCTGCATTCTGTTTAGTCAGGTTAGTAACACGTTTCTCCTTTTCCCCTTTGCTGGAAGAACTGGGTTGATGCAATTTAGGTTTACGGTGACTCATCCTGACCTCATTTCGACTCCCCCCAGGGCTTCGGCGTACCAGCCTCCTTCCCAACCTGCTTCCTGCGAACGCTTCCCTCGCTGGGTGTCTCATTCCATCTGTTCCACACGCTTCTGCACACACTGGCACTCGCCAGAGATCGCCCCTGCCCGCCTCCCCCCCCATCTTGATCAGAAAAGGCTTTGGGCTGCTGGTTGTGCAAATGAGCGTGCAAGCAAGCTGCCAGGGACCCCAACTGAGAGCGACTGTCACCCCAAGCATGACCTGGTTTGAGTTCGGGGCTTAAGGGGCATCGCCTAAGATCATAGGGTCTTTATTGCATCCAGTTTTGTTCCCCGCAATATTAAAAAAAGATGTTGAGACTCCAGGAAGAGTGCAGAGAAGAGCAAGAAAGACGATTGGTGGGGGGGCGGGGCGGAGGATAAAACCTACGAAGAACTGGGTTGCAGGAATTGGATGGGTCTAGTTTAATGAGAATAAGGACTAGGGGTGACAGGATAGCAGTCTTCCAATATATGAGGCGTTTAGGATGTAGAGGGGAGGCTATTAAGAAAATCTCAGGCCTGTAAACTAGATTAGAGTTGTGGTGGCACAGTGGTTAGAATGCGGAATTGCAGGCTGACTGCCCACAGCCTGGAGTTTGATCCTGACTGACTCAAGGTTGACTCAGTCATTCATCCTCATTCGGTAAAATGGGGACCCAGATTGTTGCAGGCAAGAGGGTGTCTCTGTAAACCGTTTAGAGTGGGCTGTAAAAGCACTGTGAAGCGGTATATAAGTCTAAGTGCCATTGCTACTGCTTTGCTCTTCCTTTTCCCCTTCCTTCCTTCCTTCCTTCCTTCCTTCCTTCCTTCCTTCCTTCCTTCTTAAGAAGTGAAAAATTGCCTGATTGAGAGGTTAATGATAAACCATTTCTATGCTGCTATCAAGAAAACATGATCTGTCCATCAGGATTTAAAGGTAAAGGTAAAGGTTCCCCTTGCACATATGTGCTAGTCGTTCCCGACTCTAGGGGTTGGTGCTCATCTCCGTTTCAAAGCCGAAGAGCCAGCACTGTCCGAAGACGTCTCCGTGGTCATGTGGTCGACATGGCTCAACACCGAAGGCGCATGGAACGCCGTTCCCTTCCCACCAAAGGTGGTCCCTATTTTTCTACTTGCATTTTTTACGTGCTTTCGAACTGCTAGATTGGCAAAAGCTGGGACAAGTCACAGGAGCTCACCCCATTACGCGGCACTAGGGATTCGAACCGGTGAACTTTCTGATCGACAAGCTCAGCGTCTTAGCCACTGAGCCACCGTGTCAGAATTTAGGCTTTCCTAAAAAGAAGACCCCCCCTTCGGCTTGTGTCTAGGTGTGTGATGGACACACCCGGCAAGTCCGTTTACTTCATCTCAATGAGTGATGACGCAAATCCCGGGCGACTGATTCGATTGGATAAACCATGGCTTGGCTAACCCTGATTTCCCCTGTGGGTGCAAACATAGCCACCGCTGATCTTAATTTAAGGCTGACACGCAGCATTGGGTCTTTTGTGTTTCAAAAAGCAGCAAGGAATTGAACTCTTGCTCTTTTGGCAGTCGTGGTTGGCAACAACTTGGGGAACAGCAGCACAAAGAGAGTTTTTTTGGGGGGGCTATGTATGACCCAACAGAGGCTCAGATAACCCCCCCTTCTAGTTTAGCAAGATACGCCCACCCGTACTTTTTCCGACAGTACCACAGGGAGGGGGTCGCAAGCCACATATGGCAGCTTGCAAAATGTTTTGAGTTTAACCAGACTTGCATAGATGGGCCAACCGAGAGCTGGGCCAAGCCTCCTCCGTTGTGTCCGCTCGCAGCGGACAGCTGCAATAACGCACAATTCGAGATCCCTAGATTAAAATGGACTCCCTGGAGAAGAGCCTAATGCTGGGAACGATGGAGGGCAAAAGAAGAAGAAGGGGACGGCGGAGAACGAGGTGGCCCTGGAGTCACTGAAGCAGTCGGCGTGAGCTTCAATGGACTCCAGAGGATGGTAGAGGACAGGAAGGCCTGGAGGAATGTTGTCCATGGGGTCGTGATGGGTCGGACATGACTTTGCAACTAACAACAAAAACGAAGATTAAAATGGACCGGCGACGGGACTCTCTTCAGAAGCCAGACCAAAAGAGAAGTCTCCGTTTCACACGCCAAGGAAAGTGTTGGCGAGTAAACTATACAGCTCTCTGCAAAGCCCAGTCAAGGTGGAACAGACAGATATTTCCCAAACCTGCAAGCCGTAGTTTTTTTGTTTTGTTTTGTTTTGTTTTTGCTTTCGCGGGGTTAGAACAGAGTAATAGATCACAGGCGCCACTGCAGAGAGAGAGAGAGAGAAAGAGAGGGAGGGAGAGAGAGAGAGAGAGGGAGGGAGAGAGAGAGAGAGAGAGAGAGAGAGAGAGAGAGAGAGAGGGAGGAAAAAACAAAACAAGTTGAGCGTGTTCTTCTATTCGCAGATAATTTTTTTGGGTCAACCAGGAAGAACAAGAGAGTTCTTTAAAGTATGCGATGATGACATACGATTATTTTCAGGGGAAGAGTCAACGGTTGCAAATTTGAATGCAGTATCAGTTCGGCTGGTTTTCCAGGTTGCGACAACTTGCAACCACATCTTGTGCATGCTTCATGCTTCTAAAGAAAGTGTGCAGGTTGCCCTCCATTTACAACCATTCATTTAGCGACCGTTTGAAGTTGCGATGGCACTGGGGAAAAAAGAGACTTAAAACCATGAGTTCCCAGCACTCATCCACTTCATGATCGCAACAATTTAGGGCTGCAAGACAATAGCCATAACTTGAGGACTACCTGCACAGATAATAGCCGTAACTTGAGGACTCCCTTTAATGCTCAGGGCAGGCAATTTTCACATCAGGGCACTGAGGCTGAGGAGTGGGTAGGTGGCAGCTGATGGCCAAAGGTCCCCACCTTGTGGCCGAGGACAGGAGAACGGAGGGTCTCCTGCTCCTTAGTAAGACCACACCTAGAGTCCTGCATCCAGTTTTGGTCACCACACTGTAAAAAAGATGCTGAGATTCTAGAAAGCATGCAGAGAAGAGCAACCAGGATGATTAGGGAATTGGAGGCTAAAACATATGAAGAATGGTTGCAGGAATTGGGCATGGCTAGTCCAGGGAAGAGAAGGACCAGGGGAGACATGAGAGCAGTCTTCCAATATTTGAGGGGCTGCCACATAGAGGAGGGAGCCAAGTTATTCTCCAAAGCACCTGAAGGCCAGACAAATGGAAACTGAACAAGGAGAGATTCAACCTGGAAATAAGGAGAAATTTTCTGACAGTGAGAACAATCAACCAGTTAGGCAGAAGTTCCCTTCGGAAGTTGTGGGAGCTTCATCACTTGGGACTTTCAAGAAGAGACTGGACTGCCATCTGTTGGAAAGGGTGTAGGATCTCCTGCTTGGGCGGCGAGGGGGTGGACTAGATGACCTCCAAGGTCCCTTCCAACTCTGTTAATCTGTTAAAGAAAGCCCGCAAACACGGGTGCATTGTTGAAAGATCTGCGAGGAGCGATCTTGACCCGTAGTGGAGGAAGCTGGCAATAAAAAGCTGGTGTCTATAAAAAGAAACATGTGGTCAGGAAATGGTTCTATATTCTGAGTCAAAGCAGAGTGTGTGGAGTCAGAAATTCCAACGCAGGCGGGGTCAGAAGGGGTTCCAAGATGACTGAAGCAGATGGCGAACAGAGCTGGCTTCCCTCTTCCCATCACCACCCTCCTATGTGCGCGCACACACACACACACACACACACACACACACACACACACATTCTCCTTCTCTCTGGGATGGTGACCAAGACTGACACCCTATTCTTAGCAAAGAGCTTAGATAGAAGCTGGGTATTCCCATACCCATGTTCCTTGCCAGGTCGGTGGCTTTGGCTCCAGACTTGAGGAATTGCAGTGGAAGGGAAGAGGTCATTCATTCTGGAGTGGCCTTCTCAAAATTATGAACAAAATTTTAATTTTAACTCTAACTATAATTTTAATTTTAACTCTAACTTTAACTTTAATATTAACTCTAACTTTAATTTTAACTCTAACTTTAACTCTTAACTTTAACTTTATTTTTTAATTATTGTATTATATTTCTATTTTATTATTTTGCTGACTATTCATTTATATATTAGACTGTATGCTGCCCATCTCAACTCTAGGCAACTCTGGGTGGCTATCGAACATTAAAAAACAGTAGACATTAAAACAATACAATGACAGCTTGCCTCCAGAAGTTGTGGTCGCTCCATCACTGAAGGTTTTTAAAAAGAGATTAGATACCCATTTGTCTGACATGGTATTGGGTCTCCTGCTCGACTAGAAGACCTCCAAGGTCCAAGATAATGTTGGTAATAATAATAACAACAACAATCATCATCATCATCATTGAATACAGACAGATCGTCACTTGGAACACAACACACCAAATATCACAGTTGTCGAAAACCGAAACATACAATTTATTGACATTGCGGTACCAGGAGATGCCAGAGTTGAAGAAAAAGGACTTGAAAAAATCATGAAATATCGTGACCTGGCCATTGAAACTACACGGCTATGGATGAAACATGTAACAGTGATACCCATTGTCATCGGGGCACTTGGTTCCATGTCCAAGAATTTTATAAGATACATCAGCAAATTGCAGCTTCCTGCAATAACACCGGTGGAACTGCAAAAAACTGCACTACTTGGAACATCGTACATTTTAAGAAGGTACTTGGTTGATACCTAGGATGCTGGCAGCAACCCGTATCAACCATTAGCACCAGTTAATGGTATTTGTGATGCATTTTTAAATGTTCAGTTGACTGAGTTTCATGTTTAATGAATAAAAGAGATAATCATCATCATCATCATCATTGGCATTGACAAATTCACCATCAGTCAATTGCAAA